CCCGGGACACCGGAAACCACGCTGGGCCGGAGGGGACAACGTTGAGAGCAAGGTCATGAATCTGTCTCTTCGTGTAATCTGTTGCATCCTTTTCGGGTTGCCTCCCAGGATATCCTTAAGCAACATGACGAAGCAGAACAGTAAGGAGGGATCCCCGGAGTCTGGGTGTAACTGCTAAGCAATGAGAAGGATGAGGAAAGAGCCCCCTGTGTGGTCCTGTCTGAGGAGGAGCCTGGGTAACAGGTCACACTGATGACATCGGGACTGGTGCAGGGCCCCGAAGAGCCATCCTTGGCCACCACTGTGACCCTTTAACATCTCGGTGTCCGCAGATGGTGACACGTCCCATCAACTGGAGACGCTTCAGGGCTCTGCAGGGCACTCATGGTCGGCTCACTCAACCTCTGCTACCTGGCTCGCTGCTACCATGATGATTAGAAAGGCTATTTCAGCCCGGCCGTGTGGCTCAGTGGTTGAGCATCATCCCACACACCAAGAGGTCGCCAGTTCGATTCCCGGTCAGGGCACATGCCCGGGTTTCAGGCTCGATCCCCAGTAGGGGGTGTGCAGGAGGCAGCCGATCAATGTTTCTCCCTCTCCCTTCCTCTCTATCTAAAATCAATAAAAACATATATTCTTTTTTAAAGTAACAACTATATCCCTCAGGACTATATTAACAAAAATCCTTAAAAAAATATTAGGAAGATGAATCCAATAAATTACAAAAAGTATATTACATAATGACCAAGTAGTGTTTATCTAAGAAATGCAAGGTTGGTTTACTGTTTGAAAACCAAAATACACACCACATTCACGGGATATAAGAGAGATGACTATACGTGGGTTTCAGTAGCTGTACAATGAGCATTTGATAAAATCCCATGTGATCTCACAATAGTAACTGTCAGAAAAATGGAGATGCAAAGGAACACCCTCACCTCTACAAAAGCCAACAGCTAATATCATATTAAACTCTTTCTCCTTAAGAAAGGGGCAATGATATCCACTCTCACGCTCTCCATTCAGCATTTTTTAAAAATATTTTTTGTTGATTTGAGAGAGAGAGGAAGGGAGAGGGATCAAGAAAGAATCATCGATAAGAGAGAAACATTGATCAGCTGCCTCCTGCACGCCCCTACTGGGGATCGAGCTGCACCCTGGACGCGTGCCCTGACTGGAAATCAAACCAACCCTTTGATGCACAGGATGACGCTCAACCAACTGAACCACACCGGCCAGGCCTCCATTCAACATTTACCAGAGTTCCTAACAACTCATCTAACACAAGAATATGAGGTGAAAGGCATGCAAACTGACCAAGAAGTACAACTCTTCTAAATCACAAATAATGTAAATATTTCTGTAGAAAACCCAAAAAGCGGTAGGACTAATAAGTGACGTTATAAAAGTCACAGCAAACAAGGCCAACATACAAAAATTAGTTCTTTTTCTGTGTACTGGTAACAACTGGAAAGTGAAAGTACAAAACTAAATACTTTTGTAACAACATCAAAAGAATATCAGATGGCCAGGAACAAAGTAAAAGTACAAAACTAAATACTTTTGTAACAACATCAAAAGAATATCAGATGGCCAGGAACGAATCTAACTAAAACTATGTGATGACTCTACATTGAAAACTATGGAACCCTGCTGAGAAATTAAATGCAACCGAAATAAATTGAAAAGTGTCCCATGTTCATGGACTAGAAGATGCAATATCATCTTTGCGGTGCGTCCCAGAAAATCCCCCCCAAATTGCAGTAGGTGTTTTTGAAAAATCAGATAAGCCAATCCTAAAAATTTATCTGGAAATGTCCCCGCAAAAATCTAGAAGTGCTATAAAAGTTTTTGTTACAAAGAAACAAATTTGGAGAGCTTAAGCCCTTTAAATTCAAGAATTATCATAAAGCTACGGGAAGTGAAATGGAAATACTGGCATAAGGATAGGAAAATAGATCAATGGGACAGAATGAAAAGTCAAGAATAGACAGGCAAGAAGGGACTGGGGTCTGTCTGTCTGTCTGTCTGTTTAATAGATACACTACAAAGCCCTGGGGGAAAGAATGGGATAGACATATGTGTGTGGCCAATTAAGCTTCAACCAGTGTGGAAAGAACATGTTTTTAGCAACTGTAGCTAGAACAACTACATGTCCGAACGGAGACAAGAAACTGACCCCTACCTCACTCCATATTCAGAAAATATGTGTGGAAGATCATGGATCTAGCCGGAACCAAAGTGGGGGACCTCTGGGTGCGGGGACGTGAATCTCTTCACCATGTGGATTCTTAATAGGGTTTATTGGGGGAAGTTTGGGGACCTTTATGATGCCCTGGAATGGAACAATTGTCTTCCGTTTGATGTCCAGAGGTTTTTACACCTGAGTCAATGAAGATCCTGGTGAGTCAGCAATAAACTTTGCCTTTTAAGTGGAAGCAAAGCAACAATGTGAGGGGGGAGGGGAACTCCCTCCCCACCCCCTCCCCAAGAACCTTCCCAAGCTCGTGGGTTTTGCGAAACCGCAGCCATGGGAGGGAGGACCCGGCCAAGGTTCCAGGCCCACTTCTGCCAGAGGAAGCCAGTCTGCGGAGACCCGGGTGGGGCTCCCTCCCAGGCCTGACTCCACGGATCAGAGATTTCGCCGGCCGCCTGCTCGGGCGCCTCCCTGGAGGACAGCTCGCCGGGTTTTGCTTGGTTCGTGTTTGTTTTCTGACGGGTTTGCTATCCTCATTACAGAATGTCTTTGTGACTACAAGCTCTTCTCCCTCCTGTTTTAGAATCAGATTTTAAGAGTGATGTATGTCCACGCAGGTTCTCTGTAAATCAGTGCTCTGCAGAAACTGCGGGTTAAAAATGAAGGAAAGGGTAACAGGGGGGCGCGCTTTTCTCGAGCGATGAACAGCTTTCCCGGGGCCCACAGCAAGCCAGGCGCCCGGGTGCTCAAATCCCGGCCGTTCATCCCCAACTGCAGGCTCTCTGCCCTGTCGGCTGCCACAACCCCACTGTGTAGCCAGACAGACCTGTTTGGTTTAGAAAGTATTAATTACTTGAACTCTGGGTCCCCTTTAGCAACTCAGAATGTCAAAACCCTCTCCATCTGCTATGTGTAAAAACAATCTCCCCATCCAGAGTCGGAAGTCCCCGGGGGGAAAGGTCCTGTGCCTCAGTTTCCCCAAAGCCTGCGCATAGCATGGGCCAGGGCCACGGACCCCGGCTCCTCCTGCTCTGAGACCTCATGAAGGCCTGGGAAAAGCGGGTGTTGGGGTGCCCTAGAAGGCCTGGGAAGAGAGGGTGCTGGGGTGCCCTAGGGACACAAAGTCCTGGTCCAGCCTTCACGGAGCAGTCAGGTGATGGAGGACACCAGGTTCAGCAAGGGGGTCCCAACGCTATGGAATCATGGGGTGCACTGTCCACCACCCCCATCCCTGGACCCTGCTCTTTCCCTAATGGCCCCTTGCCCCTCCGCAGACCCCCACCTACGCTGCGCAGGAGCCAAGCCCAGGCTGGGGCAGTTTAATTCCCCACTCTACTTGGGCAGTGGTTCATGCAAAAACATTCTTCCAATACACGCGTGTCCATAAACCTTCTGGTTTGGGATGTTTCTACATAGAGGAGCAACCAGACCTGGCAGTCATAACAGCAGGTGGCGACGCTTGCAGGCAGCATGACCCACCTGCAAAGCAAGACAGGTGCTCTGACGCCGGGTCGACTCGGCGCGGCAAGCGAACCGCTGTGTCCTAGAAGCGGCACACGGGGCCCCAAGCAGCCCGAGCGCTGGCCGCAGCAGGACCTGGGACACTTAGTGAGCAGGTGGAACTTACAAAGGACTTGTCCCCGCTCCTCTGGGGATCCTCAGAGCCCGTCACCCCGTGCATCGGCCCAACATGCTCACCCCGCTCCGGACTGGGTCCTCTGTAACCTCAGAAAGCACAGGCTCGGGACACCCAACTGGAACAGGTACATTCAATTAAGGGTGCTGCCACTGGATGGAGAACTCGCCCCAATCGGGCGCAGGTGGGGCCCTGGTCACGGCCGTGTTGTTCAAACGACGGGCAGCTGCATCTGCTTTATAAACCACCTGTGTGTCCGTTCACTTTATGTGCTTCCACTGGACTCGGGTGGACGTCCCGTGCAGTCTGTCATTATCCGAGTCCGGTGTCGGCTGTTTGTCTCTCGAAAATCACTCAGCATCTTTTGCACGTTTGTGGCCAGTGGCGCGGGTACGTGCACGCATGTCTCACCCGAGGTGCCGCCGACGAGAGGACATACTCCTTCGCGGCAGATGCAAGTGTGTCTCTGGGACAAGGTCCTGGCCACCAGCCGCCCCAGCAGCCTCTCACTCAGAAAGCGAGCCGTCGCATAAGCACGAGACCAACCACATTTTGCATATTGCCTTTATTTCGCAGAAAACGCTTTCCGCTGATTGTCTTTGGCTACTCTCAGAACAAAAACATACACGGCTGCAGGTTTCACAACACAAGAGCTCGCTGCCTGTGCTCAGACAGACCTGTCCGTGGGCAGACCAGGCAGCCGTGCGCTTCACCTACGGTCTGTCCTCAGCTCTGAGCTCCACAGCGCAGCTCCGACGTGACCCCTGCCGCCCAAGGGGCCTGAAAGCTACTCGAAAGCAAGGAGGAAGGGAATAAAATGTGTGCCTTTCATCTCAAGGTGGGACCAGTGGGGTGTACAAATCTAATGCGCCGAAGCCATCTATGTGCCGTGGGAGAAACAGGCAGTGTCGGCCGTGGCAACCACCTTCACTGTGAGCCAAGGGGAGGGAGGCCGGCCGCGCGATTCTCCTGCACGCGGAAGGGACTCAGGAGGGGGCGCGGCCGCTGGGCGGAGCGGGGAGGGGGTGCTTGTCAGTGTGAAAGGGGGGTGATAAGGCCCATTTCCTTCCCCTCGCCCCTGAGGCTGCCACTGTGTACCTAGCAGATCAACCGAGTCCACCCTTGTTGCCACGACAAAGTCACTGCATCTTCAAGACGCGGGTGGGATCACATGGAAGGTGGCGACACGGGCGTCCACGCGGCTATGAGGCAGGCCTGGGCCGAGGCGTCGTACTGGCTGTCGGGAACGTCTGTGGCCGTGGCGGCCCCGTCATACAGCGGGGATCCCGAGGAGGAGGAGGCCGGGCCCGGGTGGGTGAGGGGTGCAGGGTGGGTGGAGGCTCCCCGGAAGAACTGGGCCCCCAGCCCGCTGGACATCCCTGGTGGCTGGGAGCCCGGCGGGACGGTGCTGCTGCTGGCCGACCACAGGCTGGGGTACTGGCTGCAATGGGAAGAGGCAGGAAGTCAGAGACCTGGAGCAGGGGGAGGGGAACCGGACACCAAACACCTGCTCCTGAGAACGGGGAACACGGGGCCTTCAGACCTGTCGTTCCCATGTCAGGCTTTGTTCATGTTTTCTTATAAAAATCCTATGAAACCCTGGCTGGTTTGGCTCAGCGGTTAGAGCGTCAGCCCAGGGACCTGAGGTATGTAGATCACTGTCATGTCTGTCAACAAGCAGAGTCACAGCTCATCGGTGTGGACCGGGGCTCGCGGACCGGGGCTCGTGGTCCAGGGCCCGTGGACCGGGGCTCGTGGACCGGGGCTCGTGGACCGGGGCTCGTGGTCCAGGGCCCGTGGACCGGGGCTCGTGGACCGGGGCCCGTGGTCCAGGGCCCGTGGACCGGGGCCTCGTGGACCGGGGCTCGTGGACCGGGGCTCGTGGTCCAGGGCCCGTGGACCGGGGCTCGTGGACCGGGGCCCGTGGTCCAGGGCCCGTGGACCGGGGCCCGTGGTCCAGGGCCCGTGGACCGGGGCTCGTGGACCGGGGCTCGTGGACCGGGGCTCCGGGCAGAGCTGCCGGGTTCTGCTACTAAAGGCTCCAGGGGAGCAGTCTGCCGTCCTTGTTCAGAGCCCAGGTTCCCAGATGGACCGAATCAAACACTCCTGGGGCTGTGCTTGCGTGTCTGATAGACTCCCGCAGCGCAGTGATCTCAGGATGCAGACAACACCCTCTGAGAGCACCGGCCTGCCCCCCAGAATAACCCAGCAGGCACCGTGCCCTGCGCCCTGGGCTGCGACAGCTCGGCCGTCCACACGTGGGCATCGGGCACAGCAGAGAGAGAGGACCTGGCAGTCAGCCCCGCACACGGACCCCAGCTCTGCCCTTAGCCAGCGTCACCCTGGGCTTGGCCGGCGACTTGTGATGCTGTTTCTGGTCTATAAACAGGGTTGGCGGTAGGGACGGATCCTCTACTCTAAACACAGGCTCAAACAGCATCAGACTGTGGTCAAATCATTTTGCAAAAACCTCTCTTGTGGAAGCGCCGTCTATCAATGAACCAGACCGGATGCCATGCGGGGCGGTACTCTCCGTGGGCCGGTCCCGAGTCCAGACAGAGCTGGACTCCCACAGGCCCGAGGGAAGCGAGGTCGGCCACTGCGGCCACGGGGAGTGAGAAACGAGGCAGAGCCGCCCGCAGACAGCGGCACTGAGCCCGGGGTCCCCGCGGCCAGCACTCTGCCACCTGCGGGTCCCCCACGTACGTGCAGGTCCCCAAGAGCCCTCAGCCTTGCAGGTTGGCTGGTTGTAGGCAGAGTCTTATCACAGAGGGGCTGCTGCCCAGGTACGGGGTGGAACCTGGGGCGCGTACTGTCCCTGCACAGGGGGGTCGCTGCTCTTCCTGCTCAGGGGACTTGTCCCCAGACAGACTCGGGGGCTCTGACCTGTTCAGTCAGGGAGCATCTCTGAACCGGTGTCCTCACGGAGATGGACTTGACTTCTAGCTTTGTTCGTGTTTTCTTATAAAAATCCTATGAAGCCCTGGCTGGTTTGGCTCAGCGGTTAGAGCATCAGCCCAGGGACCAAAGAGTCGCGGGTTCGATTCCGGTCAAGGGCACGTACCTCAGCTGCAGTTCAGTCCCTGGCCCTGGTCAGGGTCGTGCGGGAGGCCACCGATTGACAGGTCTCTCTCACATCAATGTTTGTTTCTCTCTCTCCCTCCCACTCTGCCTGAAGACAAATGGAAAAAAATATCCAAGGGCGAGGACTAAAGAAAGAAAAGTAATGTATTTATCTACGCGCTTGGCTTTTTAAGCCTTCTACATAATTTTCAAGTGAATAAAAAAATAGTCACCATTCTTCACGAGTTACCCAGCATTATGTTAATGGCTTTGATTCCACGGCTACAGAAAAGCAACACATGTGTCTCCTTGGTTCAAAGCTCCTGTCAAAAGGGTGCCGGAAACACTTCTTCCAAACTCACCCCCTGTTCCCACAAACGGGCAGAGATTGGTTACGGGGCGTGAAGTGAGCAAGGGGTCGCCAGTGACGTGGTAATCCCTGCTCCGTGCCGGGTGGGCACCGGACTTACCAGGGCGATCACTTCGTAAGGTCTATGAATGTCTAACCACTCAGCTGTACGTCTAAAACTAGTGTAATATTAAATACCAACGATAACTGAAAAAACTTTTTTAATCTGTGTTAAATTTTTACTGACTGACGCCAACCACCCTGGAAAGACAGTCTGAGGCTGGAGCAGTCTGGGGTCTGTCCCTACAGGAAGAAGGCCCACAGCGAAGGGCCTGCCCATCACAGGCTCTGGTGTTACTGAGGGCGCCGGGCCCTGGTCTCCTGTCCTTGAGACCCAGCCCTCCAGCATGTATGTTAAAGACACAACCTGGAACCCTGCACACACCTGGCTAATGGCCCCGCCACCCACAGCGAAGGGCAGAACGGAGCTCCGGGACTGTCGGCACCCTCCCGAACCACGTACCTGGAGCCCGCGGGGGGCCCGGGGCCGGCGCTCCCCGGAAGCATGCTGGTGTGCGCGGGCATCCCCAGGCTGGACCAGTTGTCGTGGGATGGCAGCATGGACAGACACGCAGGTGAGCTGTCAGGATAGGCTACAGGATGCAAGCCAGTGACATTGGAGGGGTCGTCCAAGGGTGACAAACGCAGTTAATATTACCAACCCCTGCAGCCACCCAACAGTGCAAGCGAGGCGTGTGAGCTTCCGTATAAAAAATCGTCCATGCCCTGGCCGGTTTGGCTCAGTGGTTAGAGCGTCGGCCTGCGGTCCGGAGAGACCCGGGTTCGGTTTCCGCTAAGGGCATGTACCTCGGTTGCAGTTTGTCCCCGGCCCTGGTTGGTCGTGCGGGTGGCAACCACTCGATGTGTCCCTTCACGTCGATGTTTCTCTCTCTCTCCCTCTCTCTCTCTCCCTCCCACTCTGTCTGTACAAAAAATGGAAAAATGTCCTTGGGTGAGGATAAAAAAAAAAAATCGTCCACCAGCCTGCCTCACTGGCCGCCCAAGGCTAATTAATATTCGTAGCCAAATGTATACACGGGTGTGGGCAAAAGCAGGTGTACAGCTGTGACATCCCTCTGAATTAATAAATAATGTAATGATCACAACCTGCATGTCCTTGTCACATGACCCGCAAACCTGCTTTCGCAAGCCCTGTGTGTGAAACTATTCCCGTCAACACGGGCTTTGACTTACCGGTAGTTGGTCGCTGCCCTGTGGAAACAATCCTACACTCGCTTGACTGGGGACTAATTACATTTTAAAATAAATATAACATTAACTTGTCTGTTCCCCCAGAATTCTATTTCCTAGTAAGTGAGAGGACTTTAGAAACCACGGCTCTGGGCAAGGTGCAAGCTAAATGGTCTGGCTGCGGAGTCCGGCCTCCAGGGGCCGAGGCCCGCGTCCGTTTCCTCACCGAACAAGCTCCTTTCTTCCTCATCGGCTTTAACTGCTTAATTGTTTTATGGTGTCCGCCGGCTTTTCCTCCTTTTGGAGCCGGACAAAATCAAGTCTAGCATCCGAGGGGCCGCGATTAACAGGATGGGACCGGGCTAGCCTGGTGCTCAGGTACTCAGACCTGCGTGGGGACCACCTGAGGGGGTGTTCCACCCGAACAGCTGCCCCCCGCCCCAGCTGCCAGCCTGGGCTACTGTCAGGCGACCGTGGGGGACGCGGGCCCCACCTGGAGAAACACGCAGGCTCCAAGCCAGCCAGGAACTGCTGCTCCGGGCTGACCCTGCTCCTCACTTTGCAGAGGTTGATAAGAGTCCCAAGCCCAGGCCCCAGAGAGGGGCCCACATTCTGGGTGGGAAACTCGAACCTCAGCTGATGCTCACTGGCACCCAGAGCCCCTGGCGGGACCCCTCTGCGGTCCGGCAGCCGTGGTGTGGATGTGGAATGAAGGCGGGTTCTGGAGAGTCCACTCGTGCCCTCTGACCCCTGTGGCGCCTCCCAGGAGGGGTCTTCCCGCCCCTCCCCGAGCCCCCGCCCCTGGGCTGCTTTCAGCTGTGACTTACTTGGAGAACTGTTCCGATGCACGTACGGGCTGGGGTAGGGGGACGGCCGGTGGTTTCTCAGGGCGGGGTACCTCTCACATCCGTGCGCGGAGGGGAGTGGCAGGGGAGCTCCGAACTGAGCGTGGGGGGTGGCCGGTGGGCACAGGGCGCTGCTTCCAGGGATGAGCCACCCCCCTGCTGCGAGAACAGAAGGCTGGGTAACTGCCTTTCACCGCCTGACGTCAGGGCAGGAGCCCCGACCAGGCAGTGTGGGTCATTCCCTTGGGGTCCCCGTGACGGGAGACTCGCTGTCACACTGGGTGTGCAGCCCGAGCCTGAGGGCGTGGTGCTGTCTGCTCCGCACTCGAAGCCCTGGGCTCACCGAGGTTTCCAAACCCACCTGCACCTGGGGACCTAGCGACCCAGCTCTGGTCAACCCCTCAGCATCCTCAGCCACCCCAGCCACCCCGAGACCTGCTCCGTCCCCCGGTAACCAGCCGTCACGTCCCAGCCGCTGGGCATGAATAAAACGTCAACACAGACCGAATTCTGAGTCAGACCGCGCAGCACGAGGCTGTCCACGCGGCGGGCGCGTCCCGGCCTTCCCTTCCCCTGGCTGCCACCCCCCTGTACCCAGTGCCACCCCCCACAGCCACGGGAGGGGCCTTGTCCTTGGCTTGGGGCACGGTTCTCTGCCTTTCTGTCCCCGCTGTGCACGGCGTCAGAAAACCCTTCCAACACCGTCCTCCAAAACCAGTTTCTTCTCCATTCTGGTGGGGGTTTTTTGTTTTGTTTTATTTTAATTCAGAAAAGCCACCTCCAGGGGACAACTTCTCTGACTACGATTTCGATTTCCAACTACAAGGGGCTCTTCCCACCACACTAGAGGAGGGAGCAGCAGACGCATCCGCAGAGCACGGGCTCCATCCCGGCCCGTGTCCACTCCACCCTCACGCGAGGCCCCTGGGCCACTCTGGAGAGCTGACTGTTAACCTGGCCTAGAAGGTGATTTTTTTTAAAGAAGAGACAACAGCGCAGAACACAGCTGGGGAGTGTGCCCACCGATTCCTCCAGCCTCCAGAGGGGACCAGCAAACACCAACCCCTCTCCCAGTGGGTGTCAGTCGTCCACTCTCCGAGACCCTCCTTGTGGGAGGAGAGGGTGAAGCAGCCTCCCTCTAGGAGCACCATCTAGACCTGCACCCCTCATCCCTTTGCTCTGGCTGGAGCTGGGCTCGGAGCACACTCTGCCCATCCGACAAGCCAGTGTCCACCCCAAACCAGCACGGCTCCCGTGCCCTTCCCAGAACCGAAGTCACTAAGGGGAAAACCACGTTTGTTCCGAAGCATCGCTCCAAAGATGGCCCCTTCAGTTTCCCATCAATAACAGAAACGCAAAGGAGATGTGAAGAGCTGGGTTCTCCTGCCCAGCACAGCAGAATCCAAACACCCACCGAGGTCTTGGTGAAGCACCCCAGCCCTGGCTGGGGCAGCCTGGGAGCAAAACGGAAGAGCCCAGGTGAACTCTGCCCGGGCCGGGGGGCACCCGCAAGCCCCAGAGACAGCAGAGGTTGAAGGCCCCCCGCTTGGAGACTTTCAGCACCATAGGCCCTGAGCCTTGCACCGCAAAGGGGCAAGCCTGCCCCAACCACACCCATGAGGCCGAGTCTCCTCCAGCTCCGGGCACTCTGGTCCCGAAACAAGGTGCGTCGCGCAGAGTGAGCAAACCGTACATTGGGAGTACCCAGGCTGCTGGCCGTCTCCAGGGTCTTCCATCATGTCCTTGTGGTCGCTTCTGCCGAAAAAGTGTATTGAATTGTCAAAAAGGAGAACATCCGGAGAACAGTACGTGCGGCTACGCGCCATGAGTCTGCCCAGAGGGTCAGTTGGGGTGGTCTCACCTTTCCTTGGCGTCGAGGAACGCCTTCGCAAACGGGTTGTATTTAATTTTAAGAGCTGTGATCTGAAAAACAAGCAATCACACTGACTTCCGTGCTGATGAGACACTGGGAAGCACCAGCGTCCTGTTTAAATATCCGAATACAGTCAGACTTCTTCCCGGATCTGCCTCCCACTTGGGTCTGAATGGGCTGAGGAACTGTAATAGTTCCTGAAGAACAGCACGCTTTTCTGTGCGTGTAACCCACACACGGAGCTCAGGCTGGAGCCTGGGTCTGCCTGGGAGCAAAGGGTCTGCCAGTCCACGCTGCCGTCGCCACCGGCAGCCTCACCGCAGACCCCAACTTACAGCACAGAGCGGCCCTCAGACGTGACCCGAACTGCACAGGGGGTCTCGGGCCCCACCCTTTCAGGAGGAGTTCCAAAACAAGAAAGATGCCCCTCTCTCACGCAAGGTCTGTTTAAGAAATTCTCGGTTCTTTACCTAAATGCTTTACACATCTTTTCCCTTTGAGCACTGGGTAGAGTCTAGTTGGACACGTACCGAGAATGACAGGCGCCATGCCTGCGTGAGGACTTACTTTCAACTGTTCTGCCCTCCGTCCCAATTTTAGAGTTATGGTAAATGACTTGAAAAGGCATTAATTTTCTGTCTCCAGTACACTGTCACACTGGCTGTCCCCGCTCCCCAGTACACTGTCACACTGGCTGTCCCCACTCCCCAGTACACTATCACACTGGCTGTCCCCGCTCCCCAGTACACTGTCACACTGGCTGTCCCCACTCCCCAGTACACTATCACACTGGCTGTCCCCGCTCCCCAGTACACTGTCACACTGGCTGTCCCCACTCCCCAGTACACTGTCACACTGGCTGTCCCCGCTCCCCAGTACACTGTCACACTGGCTGTCCCCGCTCCCCAGTACACTGTCACACTGGCTGTCCCCGCTCCCCAGTACACTGTCACACTGGCTGCCCCGCTCCCCAGTACACTGTCACACTGGCTGTCCCCGCTCCCCAGTACACTGTCACACTGGCTGTCCCCGCTCCCCAGTACACTGTCACACTGGCTGCCCCGCTCCCCAGTACACTGTCACACTGGCTGTCCCCGCTCCCCAGTACACTGTCACACTGGCTGTCCCCGCTCCCCAGTACACTGTCACACTGGCTGCCCCGCTCCCCAGTACACCGTCACACTGGCTGCCCCGCTCCCCAGTACACCGTCACACTGGCTGTCCCCGCTCCCCAGTACACTGTCACACTGGCTGCCCCGCTCCCCAGTACACCGTCACACTGGCTGCCCCGCTCCCCAGTACACCGTCACACTGGCTGTCCCCGCTCTCCCCAGTACACGTCACACTGGCTGCCCCGCTCCCCAGTACACTGTCACACTGGCTGCCCCGCTCCCCAGTACACTGTCACACTGGCTGTCCCCGCTCCCCAGTACACCGTCACACTGGCTGTCCCCGCTCCCCAGTACACGTCACACTGGCTGCCCCGCTCCCCAGTACACTGTCACACTGGCTGTCCCCGCTCCCCGGGAACGGGGTGGCCGGTGCCCCCCTCACCTCCTCGTTCTGGTACGCTGTCACAGCGATGAACTGGGTCTCCGGGAAGCAGTGGCTGGTGATCATGCGCTGCGGGCCCCCCACCCTCACTATGTGGATCCGGGGCTCATACTTATGTAAGGAGTTCAGCATGATCTGAGGAGACACAGACAGTGGGAGCGTGACCACGTCCGAGGTCAGGTCGCAAAACACCGATCTGCTTTGCTGTTGCGGAGAGAGACACGCCCGACGTGCAGAATTCCCTGCGCTCCCAGGAGCTGCCTCTCGGCTCCAGTCGGCGGCTTCCCCTTCAGGGGCTGCTTCCCAGGACCAGTCTGAGGAAGGACTGTGAGGGGCTACAACCAGTAAAGGCGATGAAGCCCCCCGCGGACTCTTCAGGTCCGGGGGGGGGGGGGAGTGCGAGGGCTTCCCGGTGGCCCACAGACAGCTCAGTGCCCGCTGGTCTGCAGCTGCTGAAACGCCACCTCCCACCAACCGTCCCCAGGTAAAGATGGGTACAAAGGACAAAAGACAGGTTTGTTCAGAATCCAGGCAGTAAATATAAATACTGTGGCACCGACTTAGCTCTCAAGTGACCCTTTACCATCCAGGGCGATCTTTTCTCTCAGCCCTAGGAAGTTCAGGGCTAGGACGCCCCAGTTCCCCAAGGCTGGAGACCGGCCTGTCTGCAATGCAAGGCTTGCTCCCGGTCCTGCGGTAGCCCTCATCAATGCACTATAAACACCGAGGTCTTCATTGGGGGAGGGGGGCTGTGGCCGTTTCTCCAGGGCAGATGTCACCTCCCAGGCAAGCAGTGCCCCTTCAAAGACTCCGCCACAGAGCAGGCACACCCGAGGGCCCCTGTTCGCGCCGGCCCTCCACGGGCTCCATCACACCTACCTGGCCCCCTCCGTTGAGCTTGTTGGTGAGCTTGACTTTGCTGAAGGAGACGGGCGCCTTCATCCAGTGGGCCCCGAAGTTGGGCGAGTCGGGGTGGATGTAGACGCAGCTGGGCGCCTGCGGCTCGGGCTTGCCCCCCGGTACCCACTCGCCGTTCACGTACTTCCAGCGGTGGTTGTCGGCCGCCACGAAGTCCAGAAGGAAGGAGTACATGGCGTTGGGGTCCAGTCCCGACACGTTCACCTTCAGCACCGGGAACATCCTCCTGGAAAGGGAGGGGCAGCAGGAGGGACTGGATCCAACCGGCTGGACCAACAGCAGAAAATTCGGGGCAGCTCTGGGCAAAGAGGAGCCCCGTGGGGGTCCTCACAACTTCTCAGAGCCTCCCCAGGCCCCAGGCGTCCTCCACACTCTCCACAGCTTCGGGAGCAGGGGCCCGGAGGACGGGGCCAAGCCCGCCCGAGCAGAAGTGGGCGAGGCGCAGCTCACAGACCGGGGACCCCTCACAGGGCCCTCCACCCCAACCTTCCTTCCGCGAATAAAGCCCAGAAAGGAGGATGGTTAGGAGCCACAAGGGTCTGTTCCCATCTCGAGTGGAAATGAGTAAAAAGACCTCCTCCACCAAAATTTTTTTTAAAAAGCCGGACAGTAAGGGGCGTTCCCCCCTCTGGCTGCGGCGCAGCAGAGCCGCACACCCACCGGCCGTTCTTGGTCACGATCATCTCGTTGGTGAGCTCCTTGAAGCGCAGCCACAGCTCGCTCTCCTCCAGGCCCACGCGCAGCTCGCGCTCCGTGGGGTCACCCTTCTCGCTGCCCGCCTGCAGCTCGCTCTCCACGGCGCTCAGCAGGTGGTCCACGCGGTACTGCAGGCTCTTCCCCGCGCTCTCCGTGCCTGGGGAGCTCATCCTCCCGGCTGCCCCGCCCCACCGCCCCCCAAGCCCCGACTTGCTATCCGAAAGCCACCTTCACCCCAGTTGGCGGCCGCTCTTCCGAGAAGAGGGACCGCTCGGGCCAAGACCGGCGACGGCACCGGGGTCCCAGCACAGATCCGGGAGGAGGGAGAGAACGGAGAACTGGGGGGAGGGGGCGGGGGACAGGGGTGGGGGGAGGTTTTCCACTTGAACTCCCTCAAGGCGAGACTAGGGTAGGTCTCTGGGGAGAGAAAATCGGTCCTTTCTCCCTAAATAGAGCTGCGGCGGCCGCGGAGGGGGGCGCGGCGGATTGGGCCGCGCGCCCTTTGAAGTGCGGAGGCCGCTGCCCATTGGCCGCGCGCGGCCATATCAGACCCCGCCGGGAGGGCTGGGGAGGCCGGGGGCCAACAATGGACTCGGGCGCGCCCGTTTCATGTAAGTCGGAGGTCCACCCTGCGCCCCGGCCCAGCCCCTACACCTCCGCCCTCCCCCAAATGTTTGCACCTCCATCAAAGCGGCGGGGCGGACCCTGCGGGCCAGAGGAGGTCCGGGAGGTGGGAGGCGCCGGGGGCCGCAGCTCGCCCCTGCCCGCAAGTCCCGGAGGGGCTGCCCGGCCGCCCACGACGCTCCCAGACTCCCGCACGCCGGCCTCTGACTCTCCAAGCGCACCGGGTCCCGCAGGTGTGCCAGGCTGGAACCGCACCGCGGCGCTCACCTGCGCCGGGCCTGGTGGCCTCCGCCCTCTGACAGCAAACAGCGCGCACAGCCCCGCGCCCTGCCCGTGGTGCCGGAGCTGTGCCGGTCTCCATCCGACGAAGGCCCAGCGCTCCACCGAGCTGTGTCCTGTCCCGACACGTCCCTCGCCCCGCGGCATTCAGGTGGCTCTACGGCCGTGCATCAGCCCACCAGTGTCCCGGGTTCCTTCAGCCCTCACCTGTCTGGAAGGGAAGGTCCCACGCTCCGAAGCTGCCCACGGTCGGTCCCGTGCCCAGACAGGGAAACAGACGGAATAGACGGAAATCAACCAAACGACCCCTTGGGGGAAGGTTTTTGCTCCTTATTAAAGCAGGACGTGGAGAGCTCCTCTGCGCGCACTGAGTGGGCCGGAGTTTCCTCGGCTCCAGGGTCCGTTCTTTGTTTCTGCGGAAGGTGGGAGGGGCGGCCTGGTGCTCGGGCGAGCGGGTTCGGGGTGGGACTCTCCGCCCGACGGGGCCTCAGCGCCCGGCCGCGTTATTACCTTTTGGTGAGAACCTCCGTGAGGAGAGCGAAGCAAAGGTGACAATGAGCAGGAAATAGTTCAGTGGGGTCTCTTGAAACAATAACATTCCTCCTGAACCGGGAGCCCGCGAAGGGGGAAGGAGACAGAAGCTGGAAGTCGACGCGGGGGCTGCGAGCCTCTGACCCTTGCCCACCACTGCAACCGGCGTGTTTCTGGTCTCCGCGCGCACGTCACCCGCACGCTCTCCGGGAAAAGCCAGTGCATCGAGTCGGGCACCCCATGCCCAACAGCCTGCACCCTAGAAACGGGCTCTCCAGGCAGGACGTGGAACCCCGCGTTAACCCTTCCCCGCCCGCCTCTGCCCCTCGCGCTGCAGGGTCCGGATGGCAGGGTGGCGGCAGGGGGAGCCCACGCTTGGGGCCAAATGGAGACGGAGGGGTCGGCGGGTCCTGCACCCCTCGGAACTGCCCGCGCTCAGCATGGAAATGCCCACGGCCGACCCGAGGGGGGGTGTCTCCTTCTGGACAGAGACACCAAAAGAACCTCGTTTGCTCCTGGACCGGGACTGGACCGCCCTGAGCCCCTTCCACCCGGGTCTTCGAACCGGGGGCTTTGGGGGGTTTTGCGTGAGCCTCTCCTGAGGGAATAAAAATGTCTGAAGTGACCTCTGCGGCCGCGCCCCGCCCGAGCCTCCGCGCCTGGGATGAAGGGGAAGAGGTTGGGGAGAAGGGGGGCGGTCCGGCCAACTGAGGGTCTCAAAGGCCCAGGGGTGGAACGAGGCTGCCGACGCTCCGGACCCGAAGGCGGGCGTTCTCTGGGCGCTGATCGCTCGAGGAGTCGATTCCCCCCACTCCAGAGCACCCCACGAGCGCCACCGGGTTTCCCAGACCGCTTCAGATGGGGTCGGACTTCAGCTGGTCGCCACCACCAGGGGCGGACAGAAGAAGCGCCCGGCGGCGGCGGCGAGGGGCAGGTTCCGTCTGGACCGCGCGCCCCGAGTCCGCCTCCAGCGTGAACTTCGGCAGCGTCCGTGGCGCGCGGCCCTGGTTTCCCCGCCGCGGTTGCGCGGGTCCCAGGCCCGAAGTCGCGGGCTGAGCCGGGGCTGGGGAGCGGCTCCCCGCTTCCACCACCTCCCTGCTACTTGTCCCCGTGCCTGATTTTCTGGACCATTGTTCCTTGGCTCTCGGGACGAGCGTCTCCACTTTCTCGCCTTTTCAAGGAAGGCTGCCGTGCATGACCGTTTACAACCCGCGCTTCCTGCGCCGCTGTAAAGCGTCTCAGCTGGGAACAATGTGCTTGGGGTGCGGGGGTGGGGGCTTCCAGCTGTTTCTCTCCCAAGGTCCGTCTCTGCTGGAGAAGCCCAGCCATTCAGGGAAAAGAAAGAGGCCTTACATTTGGGCCCCGGGATGCAGCTGGTCCCCCACAAAATAAGTAGGATTTCCCCCCAATAGGGAACACTTTACAAGAAGTCTCTCTCCCTCTCTCTCTCTCTCTCACACACACACACACACACACACACACACACTTCAGCTCCCGAAGAGGAGCCCCCCTCCCCCCGCCCAGGAGGCCCCAGGAGGCCCGGCTCCTTCTCAGCAGCAGAGTGGATGGAGCCCAGGCTTGTCTCTCAGGGAGGAGCAGGCACAGCGGCCGCAGGCTCCGGGCCAGGGAGCCAGGCACGGTCCCCCAGTTTCCTTCTCTTCCGGGAGGAAAACCAATTTCTTTCCGACGACAGGATTTGTGCTCAGCGTAGACTATTCTCTAGATCATGTGTGTGTGCAAATAAAAGCCCCAAGCCCTAACCGCGGCTCCTGGTTTGCTGGTGTCCCCGCCTTTTTCCCTTCTGGCCTTCGGGTGGAGGAGCTCTTTCTCCCCTGCTGCTCTGAGCAGACTCATCTACAGCACCTAAACGTGAGACCATCTATACTAAGGTCCTAAATAGCAAGTCACTTCTGCCGCCAGTTGGTTTGTGTATCGCTCCCACGGAAAGAGACCCGATGAAGTTCGTTACGCATCCTTTAGACACGTGAGCACTGAAAACATTTTAAAGTCCATTGGGCTGCTTGGGGCAGCTCTCATTTGTAAGAAAGAACGAAGCCTTGGTGTTCCCGTCTGTTTCCCGGGACAGTGGCCCAGCTCCGGAGCGACTGACCTCCAGGGTGTCCGTCGGGCTGCGGCTGGGAGCCTGAGCTGGGCTGCCCGAACCTCACGGTCTCTGCAGGCTGGCGATCCGGGCCCGGCGGCCGGAGCGAGCCCTTCCCGACCGAGGCCGTGCCCACTGCCCACGAGAGCCACCGCCTGATCACACGCGACAGTGTGCGTTTCGTGACGGAGTTCACACACGGAGCACAGACAAGCCTGCGACAGGCTGAATGTGGGGGACGGCAGCCTTTCTCCTGAAAACTTCGGGCCATGGCTCCAGTCTCGAGTTCGAGGCTGCAGAGGAGAAATCTGTGGGTCCCTGACGTGGCAGGGGGGGGGGCTGGAGTGTTTTCCATCCACATACTCAGTGGGCAGTTCACGGGTTTCTCCATGCGCGTGGGTCTCCGTCCTGACTTCTCCTGGACCAGGGAGAGGCTCCCATATCTCCTCGCTCGTGAGTGTGCTGTGCCGGTCACACAGCTGGCCCGTCTCCGGGGTCACCTCTGCTCCCAGACTGGGCCCCCCGCTCAGTCCTGCCCCCTGCCTGCTGCCGCCGGGGGCCTTCCTGCCTGTGCACGTGCCCTGTGAGATGATTTTCTGCACCACGCTGTCCGCTCGCCTCTGTGGCCCTTCAGGCTTCACTGCGTCCGCGCAGATTTTCCTTCTGTGCCCACCCTGGTGTCCCAAGGGAGGTGCCCTGACGTCCCCGTTCCCCAGAGGCCATGTTTCTGTGTCTTACTGAGAAGGCCAAACAGGTTTCTGATTCATCTTCCTGTCCCCGTGGTTGGTTCCTTCCCGAGGCTGCTCTCCCTGCGTCTGGGCACCAACCCTGCCCCTGAGCGCCCTGACCCTGGCTCCACACGATGCTTTTTCCCACGTAAGTAGGGTGGTCACCCATCCCAGCCACCAGTGGCCGCTGCGGGATGCCCAGTCACAAGAGGCAGGGTCTGAATGACTGAAACCAGCCCTTGGCTGTGGTGGGGACAAAACAGGCCCCTACAGAGTGCCTGGCTGTGGCCAGCCTGGGTGTCTGACTGTGGCCAGCCTGGGTGTCGGCTGTGGCCGGCCTGGGTGTGTGTCATTGGGCTGTGGCTGGTCTGGGTGTCGGCTGTGGCCGGCCTGGGTGTCTGCCTGTGGTTGGTCTGGGTGTCGGACTGTGGCCGGCCTGGGTGTCTGACTGTGGCTGGCCTGGGTGTCGCCAGGCTGTGGCTGGCCTGGGTACCTGGGCCGGGCAGGAGCCACCTGGCCACAGGCCCTGGAGCACGTTCTCAGCACCAGAGCCAGTGGTCACCTTAACGTTTACGTCGCAGCCTGGCCCCTCTGCAGCCAGGCACTCCTGGGTTCAACGGTCAGTTGTCGTGCAGAGAGAAGAGGAAGGGCTCTCTGTGGAAACTACAAAATGAGACCTAAAGAATGGCTGGCAGTGAGCTCTTCCCAGGGCGAGGGGGTAGGAACGTCCTTGTCACTCGAGGCTTAAATTACTCAAGAAATCATGGCTGGGGATCTACTCAGCCATCAGTAATGACTATTTCTGTAAAACTGCACCTCTTCTTCCCCCTTCCTCTGCCTTCTCCATACCCCTACGCTGGGAATCTACTCCTGGTGCCAGGCGACACGTGAGCTCTCAGGTCTGTGGTCGGAGATGGATGCCCACACTAGCTCAGCCTACAGACGCCGGCTGGAGCAGCTCCAATTCCATCATCACTCCCCAGCGGGGAAGGTCACAGCATGTCCCAAACCAGGGCGCCTGGGACCACGGCTGCAGAAGGGGCTGGAGCGCAGAGGTCCGGGCCGGCCGGTGTGCAGGGGCTGCGGCCAGGCAGAGGCAGGTCCCCAGCCGGGAAGAACGAGCAGTAAGCAGTGGCTGGGCTCCTGGGTCCATGCT